AACATAGAGGCAAGAGAAGACAGTATATTGACTATACTCTTAAAGGTCACAAGAGCCTTATGGATTGGTGTAGGAGGAGCTAGCAGAACCACTATCTTCACAGAAAAGGACAAGTTTAAATTTCTGCTATACCCCTATACCAATCCACATCCATGAAATCTGTTGTATCACAAACTCTATCAGTTGAACAGGGGGGAAATGACAATTCATTAGTCTGTGAACTAGTTTAATGGGAGACAACCTCTGGTGGCCCTACCAAACCCACAAACATCCAGCTCCATACCTCTTTCAAAATAAAGTAAGGTGCATGGTGATACTGATCTGGGTCAGGTGTTTAGAAGGAACTGTATAGGCTTGACATAAACATTAGTATTTCAAATGCATGTAATGCTCTCAGTGAAAAATGTGGATCTAATCAAATAAAGATTACATTATAAACTAAGGTTATGATCTAAGGATTTGAAAAGCAGTAGTGTGTTACTAACTATATAGAAAAGTCTTGATTTTTAAGCTAAATATAAAAATATATTTTTATAAAAAGTGATCAGTCTTAAAGGTTTTTTCTTATTCTAGGTAAGTCAAGAGTTGTGCACCCTAGATAACTTGAGAGTATTGACTATGTGGAACTACAGGGAAGCCTGGATGCAAGAAACATTTTTGTCTGTTTAGTGAATACTTTCACTTTGAATAGGAGCCTTCCTCAACATAGGTTTGACATTAAAGCAATAAACCAGGAATATAGGAAGCATTCTTCTCAAAAGTGAATAACCTCCCCTTCTCCCACAAGGAATCACTGTACTGACAGAACAGTGTTTTATAACCTGTTCAATCCTCACAGGATGTGCAGTCTCCTTTCTTAGCCATATAGACAGATTGAGGATCATTGTAAACTGTAGTTTTCTGGACATATACACATGTAGAATGTAGGGATGTGTTAAGTTGGTGCATTTGGTCCCCTAAATAAGGAGCTTTTAGTGAGACACTTTTAATCTCCAGTACTGAGGCAGTAATACTGAGCTAGACTTGGCCATTCGAGCCTTTGCATAAGCCATGATGACTCTTTGGATAGTCCTTAATGTTAGGTCTTCTTTTAACAAACTTCTTGGCCACAGTCTAGCTGAAGTGAATTTTTACTAAATCCCATTGAAAGCAATTGGACAAATAAGTCATAGCTAGCTTTGTTAGCCACCTTTTGGATTTCATAAAACAGAAAGCCAAGGCACAAAGATTTTAGTAAAGCAAACCATCCAAACCAAATGCAGCCATTTAAAACTACAAACGTAAAACAAACTACAGCTTATAAAATCATGAACCAGCCAGAAAGAGTAAAAGTCATGAGCAAAAAAACTCCAGCAAGGGTAAAGAGTCTGTCAAAAGTTCTTCTAAAAAGCACTGCCTCTTCCTGGCACCTAAGTGCTAAGAGGAAACTTACCTCTTCTGGAGGAGAGGAGGAAGTTCCACAGTCTTGGTGTTACTGATGAGAAGGCTTTGTTTTTTATAGCCACTCACTGTGTTTCTGACAGCTGGGTCACACACATAAGAGGCTGATATAAAAGTAAGCATTCCTTCAAATTGTCCTGGACCCAGCACTTTCAACTTATCCTGGAAATAACAGTCAGCTAATGGAGAGATGACCTAAGATTGGCGTAATATGGTCCATGTGGTTAGGTTTTCTTTACTAGTTTGGCTGTCATGTTCTGAGCTGGTTGATACTTCTGGACACACAGTACATATTACAGTAGTTCAGTCTAATGAGAAGGCATGAATGACTTGTGGCTAGGTGGTGGGTGTCAAGAAAAAAGCATAGCTGCCAAACCAGCCTAAGTTGGTAAAATGAATTACTGTCTACTACCACCCCCTTCACATCCAGATCTAGTGATGAGTCAGCTGCTAGCCTGAATCTTGTTCCCTTTGTTTCAGTTGAGCTTAATCACAGTTCTGTTTAGGCAGGTTTGGGGCCATTGTGTTATTAAAACATTAGATCATTTTATTGTAATCTGGTTATCAGCAATTTATGCAGTTTCATCATTCTTATTTAGTATATGCACAATGAATCCTAATTTCCATTATACAGTAGGTGCCTGCTTGACTAACTAATATTCTCCCCCATCTTTCTGGTACCTTCACTGGGTAGTAAGGTGGCATCAAAACAATTCATTTATTGAACCCTCTGCTTCAAGATTAGCCACACCTAAATAATTTTTTTTCTTGCTGTAAGGTTAAGCTATCTGTTGCACATGATTAAAAGTTGCCTCTTTGCCTTGTTCTTAAGTAGTGAAGATCAGTTGTCCACCTTTGTGGCAGCCTTTAAATTTCTTCCTCAAACATATTTTCACACAACATTCTGCCTTCTTCAGCTTTCATATTTTATTTTGTTTAACTTAATTTTTTTAAATCTTCACACACTAATCCACTTAAGAAGATAGTAGGGGTGCTGTGTGGGTAGGGCGGGATATAAATCCCAAAATAAATAAATAAATAATACTCTGAATTGGCTCTGTATCTTTCCTGAGTATTTTCCACCCCATAACCTAGTGATCTTAAAAATTTCATCCCCTGGATTCTTCTGCAACTGTTTCCAGTCAGATACTGACCAAGGCCAGACTATACAAAGCCAGGATAGCTGTATAAAATATATATTTTAAAATGTCATCATTCACTTAATCTGTACAGTCTATTTGTCCTACATCTGTACAGTCTATTTGTCTTACAAGTGTGTGTTCTCTAATTAAAATATTAATATTTGGTAATTATTAGCCCAGCCTCTTAGTATGTCCAGATTTTAGATTATCAGTTGTCCACAGATACGATTTGTTTAATTATTTCCAAATTTGTATACCTAAGTAATGATAAATATTTAGCAGAAAAATTCACACAAAAAAAATCCTGTGAAAAATCTCTTAAGGTTTTAGATACACCTATTACAGTCCTGCCAACCTAGCAGTTCGAAAGCAAGAAATTGCAAGTAGATAAATAGGTACCACTTCAGTGGGAAGGAAACAGCGTTCCGTGCGCCTTGATGTTTAGTCATGCTGGCCACATGACCTTGGAAACGTCTTCGGACAGCGCTGGCTCTTCGGCTTTGAAACGGAGATGAGCACCGCAACCCTAGAGTCGGATTCGACTGGCTTTCGAGCAAGGGAACCTTTACCTTTACATTACAGTTGCATTCCTCTTAAAATACATATATTTTGCATGTAGCCAACAAGTTACTCCCAAATCAACCTCGCTTATTCATTTGGCAGTCTCTTCAAGCTTCTTAATAATAAGCTTTTAAATGTAGTTTCCTGAATATTCCTCATTTTGATGTTGAATTACCTTGAAGTATGACTTTCTGGGACGTGCACTTCTTAAGGCATTGTTTTTCTGTTATCTCAGTTGGAGATACTGTTCAGGAAATCCTCAAAGGCTTTTTTTGTCAGGCCTTTAGGACTGAAATTAATGCATTATGACTCTCAGACACTCTACTGATTTCCCATTGAATTATATACATCTTCCCAATGCTGTGGCAGTCATCATTGCGTTTAATCCCCTGTTTGCAATCTATAGAGTCCTTAATTCTAGGTCTGCCTTTTTTTCTTTTAAGATTACTGTGAACTAACTTCTCCCCTAAAGAATGGGAAGTGTTAATCAGTTCCCACACATTGGTTACTGTTAGTGAAGAAAAGGTATTCCAGCCATTCTGGTCAGACATTTTTTTCACATGTCTCCTTTAAGATGAGATGAAATCATAAACTAATAATGCAACAAGGACCTTAAACAAAATTCAAGGTTGAGACATGACATTAGTGATATGTGTACAGAGGGGGATTCAGTATAATGTGCTAAAGTAAACCAAGAATTACTAGTTGCAGAAGCAGTTCATTATATTATCTCCCCGATAAGAGCTGTCTCTCTATTGCAACCCTTCGCTATCTTAAAAACATGCTGTATTAATTTGTTTCTGGGGATATAATATATCCCAAATAAGTTGCTGTTATAAAATATATTTTATTTTAAAATTATTGTAGTTTAATATAAAGGAGAATTTAGTTTTTGTTGGAAAAACTCTTAGAGTCTTTAGTACTCTATTGTGTAAACAGTGACTCCTAACAGCAGTGTTGTTTGGGTTAAATTGAGACACACTGCTTCTATCCAAAATATTTACATAATATTCAAAATTTAGTACTTTACAGTTGCCGTGATTAAAATGAAAATCTAATGAAAGCATAAGTGAAGAAACTTAATGCAAGCAATGTTATAACTGTCAGTTACATTCAAGAAGTTATAGTTGTGTATGCTGAGACTTCACTTCTAAAAGATTTTCTTTCTCTCCTTGCCCTAGAATTTATATGATCTGATTAGTTGTAAAACCTTGCTTTAACAGTAGATAACAGCTTTCAAGGCAACCCAGAGGCTAGTTCAGTTATTAAGTGGCAGAGACCTTAACTGAGGCAATTTAGTTGACTGCTATAAAATTAACAGAGGTTTCAGATTACCCGTTCAGCTAGCTACGCAAGTAACCATCCACCCTCCTTTTTAATCTTCATGCTAGGGAAGGATTAACTGATACATCAAGAATATAAAGTTAAAATAAACTTGTAAGGTGGAACCAAAGTTCACCTTCTGGAGTATAATTAACCCCCAATGCACTTCTAGTGGAATGTTTCTGTATATAGAAAATGACGTATTACATTAACAAAGAGAATTCTACAATGTGTTTGGGGCCAGTGCTTTAATTTTCCTTTTCATTTCAGTAGAGGTCACTTATAGCCCAGTAGTATTCTGGTATTTTCCTTAATTTTATAAGAACAGGAGGGGTGGGATTGAAACAGTAGAGTATAATTTAACTGAGTATATAAAGTGGTACAGGATTACTGAAAAAAATATACATATTGAGTTCTATGCAAACCCATTGGTAGAAGAGGTTTAAAACTGTGCATGTATTTCTTGTACAAGTTTATCTATGCAAACTGAATGAAATGTGTAACTTGATAGTATTTTTGTAATTTTCATTGCAGGCACCCATGGGGACTTGCTGGGGCGACATTTCAGAAGGTGTACGTGTAGAAGTCCCTAACACAGACTGCAGCCTACCTACCAAAGTCTTCTGGATTGCTGGGATTGTAAAATTAGCAGGTTACTAATTTTATATAGGATCATATGTTTTGAGAGATTGAGAGAATTAAGCAAATGTTTCATTTTTAAGTGAAATTAGTAATAGGCTTGAATAGTCAGCTGTAATGCGGCAAGCTTTTAAGCAACCTGTGCTTATTACAGTATGTCCTGTTTGTAAATGGCTTTAAAAGACTGTCATAGTAACTTCTGCCATAATGTAGCTTCTGCCATAATACGGAGACTGTTTTCTGTAGCTGTTGGTTGACCTTTTTCTGTAGAGATTGGTGGGAATAAATGCATCTATCTTATTAATATAGTTTTAAAAGAAAATCCAACTTTCCAGTTAAAATAATTTACAATACTTATAAGTAAAAGGAATAAAAGAATAGCAGCAAAATAGTAAGATAGAACCAGTGGTAAAACACAAATATCAAAGCAGTGTCATATTTAGCCATTGGTCTGGATGTACAGGTGCTTAAATGATGAATGTAGATGACTTCTGAGAATGTGGTGATGGCAAATGGCCTTGGCAGAAGATCCTAGTAGGCAGTCTTTAAGCAATCTTTGTCTCAAGCCATTTAGAGCTCTATACATCAGTGCCAACACTTTGCATTGTACTTGGAGGCAAATGTGGAGTTAGTGACTGTGACGACCCCTTAACTGGGGAGGTCTGGTTTTACTTTAAAATGTTATTTCTGTTTTGTTTTACTCTGTATATCCAGCTGCCACCAGGAAATTTTAGGCTTTCCAAACCTTTATAATATAATATTTTTATCACTGGGTAGGTAGGCCGGGTCTTTAGGCTTTCAAGGGACTATGTGTTCCTCAGGATGTATTTATTTCAGAGCTGGTATACTTGAATGAAATAGGATTTATTTAAATAAAGCATAAATACGAGGGTAGAACCATGTAACTAGTAAAGTAGGTATAACACACAGTTTGCTCCCTACTGACAGGGATTTTTCATAGGTAACTTTGTAACACTTTTCCTTCAAGTCCATATAATCTTTACTGTTTCCTAGACTCTCAGCTTTCAGCTTATAATTCCTATAACACAGAACTGAATGTCTCTCCTTTCACACACAAATATTTAACTCAGAACTCTTATATCATACAAGACTGCTTCACTCTTTTCATACACAGGACCAACTTATCCCACACAGGGATGTGTCTCCTTCTCTCAGAGACAGCACTTAACTCTCATATCACACACAAGAAGGTCTCTCCTTCAGACCCCAGAACTAAACTCATCCCACACAGGGATGCTTCACTCTTCTCATACACAGAACTTCTGCTTCTCTCCCAGAAATCAGAACTTAACTGCTTAACTGAACATCAACTGTCTTCATCAACTGTCATATCCCTAACTGACACTCTTGACTGACATATCTGCTCATCCACACAGAATCATTTCCAAAACCCCTCCCCCTCTTTGTCACTCACCAGTCACACCACTTGCTTGTTTCCACTACTCTAGACTATCATACATCCATGCATCCAAACTTTTAAAGTCACACACACACAGTTAAACATGAAATCGTTACAGTGACATTCTCTCAGAATTAGGGAAATGGATCTGTCATATTCCAGACCATCTGAAATTTACATATAGACCTCAAAGTAGTCCCACATAGAGAACATTGTAGTAATTAAGCTTGGATGTAACCAAGTGATAACTGGTGGGATAATTTTTTTGTCCAAAAAAGACCAAGCTAACACACCAACTGAATTGCAGAAAGGCACTTGGAGCAATTGATGTGTCCGTTGCAGCTTTGGTAACATGTTAAAATTGGCTCCTTGATTCCTGACATCTCCTAGGATTAAGCTTTTTCTTTCTTCCCTTCCTGCTGTGATGTCTGTTTTATATTTAATTTAGGAACATTTATGGATCTGCTTATTCAAAGGGTTAGTTCCCATGATCTGTCAACAGGTGGTGGTGATCCCCCCCCCCCCAGCAGGGGACTAAATTCTTTCTATCTGTGCTGTTGGGGAGCTCTGCTGTTGGAAGAGAAAAAAAGGGTGATTTTACCTTCTTTCTCTTTCCCCACTGCAACCTCCTGACCCATGTGACTATTGTACCACAGGGTTCCTGCAGTCCCAGGAATAAACTTTTCCAAAGTCAGAAAGGACTGCTATAAGGAGAGGAAATACAGGAAAAATCTGCAGTCCTTGCATATTTGGATAGCAGGATACAAATCAGTGGTTGTTGGAGCAAGGTATTGTAAGAATTCAGGAAATTCTTGGATTTTCCCCCCTTAGTTACCTAGGCATGTTTGTCTGGGGCATAATACCTAAGGCATCAGTAAGGCAGTGGAGCTGGTGGGTTTTAAGGAAGGAGCTATGCCAATGAATCCAGCATCTGTAGCTCAGTTTTCCGCTGGTATGTTGAATACTTCTGGGTTAAACAAATGGCTTTAAAATCTGGAAAAAATGTTTCAGATTAGTGTATTCTAAAAGGTTCCTTGCAACAGCAAGAGTATAGTGGTAATATCAAGTTTAATTATTTAAATCCTGTATCCTGTTTTTCTCCATACAACATAAAATACTCAGAAGTACATATGTAAATAAAATCTGCAATACCCGACAGTCCCCCAGTCAAACTTGACACAGATTATAAACTGTGAGGGCATCATGGGCCATTGCTGGTCCTGCCTAGGGCCACAAGCTGCAAGCTATGGGCTAAGAGCTGAAGGCCAAAAGCTTGTGCTGCTTGCTGAGCCCAGGCTTTATTTAAAATACTTTATCCAGCCTTTTTCCTAATAAAGGACCCAACGTGTCTTCCAAAAGAAACGGGGAAGACTTCTTTAGCAGCGAGTGGCAGCTGGAGAGCACTGCCAGCATTAGCTCCCTTTTTTTGTACGCCATTAACAGGTGGAAGGGACTTCATTCCATGCGATCCTTCCTTAGGAGAGTAATGTAAATCAGCCAGCTTGGTGTAGTGGTTCAGAGCGGCGGACTGGAGAACGGGTTCGATTCCCTACTCCTCCACATGAAGCCAGCTGGGTGACCTTGCCCGTCAGTCATAGGTCTCTCAGCCCAAAAATAAACCTAGCTGACCACAAAAAGAGCTAGAGTTTCAGGCTGCCGGACAACCTTTGGATCTCCTGGCTATACTACACCCACTGCCATACGATAATTGATGTGAATCAACGTGTGGGTTTGCTCTCTTCTCAGGTTACAATGCTTTACTAAGATATGAAGGCTTCGAAAACGATTCAAGTCTTGACTTCTGGTGCAACATTTGTGGTTCTGATATCCACCCAGTTGGTTGGTGTGCAACCAGTGGGAAACCTCTAGTACCACCTCGAAGTATGTGAATCTGTTATTCATCTCATGTTTTGTGTATTGATCATGTAGTTATGTCACATAAGTATCCTGTGTTTTTAACTATGAGCTTGATGCAACAAGGCTTCGCTTATGGCCTTCCTGACTTAGTAGTATGAGCAAAGTATTTGCTTCGTACATGTATAAAAATGATTGGACCTCATTTATTACTTATTAGGATGGAACAGAGGGCTATACTTGCTTTTCGTAAGACCCCAGGGTAAATCTCAAAACCTTGTGAAGTTATTAAAAACTGTTGAAGTATTTCCAGAGCAGATAATTTATTGAGTGAAGTCTGAAAATAGGTCATTTTTACATATTTATTTATTTATTTATTTATTTATTTATTTATTATTTGGATTTATACCCCGCCCCCCCTGCGAGCGGGCTCAGGGCAGATGACATTAGTCGGTACCCAGTACCGTAAAACCTTGATGTTGTAACTTGATGTTGTAAAATACAGCTAATGTTTTTTTCTTCTGAACATTGACAGCCATTCATCATAAATACACAAACTGGAAAGCTTTTCTAGTGAAAAGACTCACTGGTGCCAAAACTCTTCCCCCTGATTTCTCTCAGAAGGTAAGTCTCATGGTAGCAAAAGCCTGGTCAGACTCTCAAGAAAGGAAGGTTATTCCTCATTTAATATATAATATTTATGTACTATATCTGAGCACAAATAATCTCAAAATAGTTTAAGAACAGTAAAATATTATGAGTTAGATTCAGTGATCTGTGGGCACAGTGACTGTGGATCTTTCCTCATCCCATCAGTCCTCTTAGATTGCAAGAAAGTGGATTTCCAGGGATGTAGGACATGCATGGACTAAGAGCCCTACAGATCAGGGGGCTGCACTAATTGGGGAAAGGGGGTGAAGTTACCTTCTCCTCCTCTTCCATCAGCATAGCTCTGTTTGCAGAATAGGGTAGGAGGAGCAGTTTTGCCCGTCCCCTGCTCTTCAGTGCAGACCCCTGCCCTTTGTGGTTCTTAGTTCACATTAGGTCCCTTGTCCCAAGGAACTGAGTGCTAGAGGGAGCCCTTCTATTGAAGGATTGCTGGATCCAACCTGGTATCTGATAACTGGAAGTAATGTCTGCCAACTAATACAGCCACAGTCAGAATGAAAGCAAAAGTCTCAGTTTACAAAAGTTCAGCAGAATAATCAGGTTTTTACTTGTGTCCAAAAAAAAAGGGCAATCTCTGGCCCTAGATGGGAGGAAATTCTGTATTTCAGGAAAAGTCCTATACAATATGTCTAAAAATTGTGATGGAAGCAGTGTTTTATTTGCTGATCACAAAATAGTTAAGGGGAGAATGAGAAATAAAGTGGTCATTGAGATAAGCAGGGATGAGGCTATTCAGCGCTTTAAAAGTCAAATTGCTGCTTCCATTGATTCTTTCTCTGAGTTGCAAATTCTGGTTGGGTCTTGCTCTACCAATGTTTTAGATGCCCCTAAGTGTAAATATTTTATTGATTAGAAAGTATGGCTAATTATTTTGAATTAAGCTTGGGTATGTTACTAGTTTAACCTTATGGCTGTGCATACAAGAATGATCCAGATGTAGTACGGAGGCACCAGCAGTGAGCACTCTGTACAGACCTGTCATTTGATCAAAAATTAGTGCTGTATGCTTTGCTTACAAAGTTTTCCATAGAAGAATCCGTACTTATTATACTATTTTTGTGATTCAGTCTGAACACCTAGTTCTGCAGAGGCAACAGGTAGAAATACAAACCCAAAGACTAGTTCTGGGAACAAATCCTGGTGCCAACTCTATCCCAATATCCATTCAAATGACTCTGTCACAGCACTCAATAACACTACCCATACCTCAAGGGTACATTCATTTGCACATCCCCTAATGCAGGGGTGTCAAATTCATTTGTTATGAGGGCCAGATCTCATATAAATGGGACCTTGTCAGGTCCTATTGTAATGTAATGCCAGGTAGCAGACATATAAACTCTATAAAGAACACAGACAAACACAATTAAATATATAATTTTACTTAAAATACCAACATGCTTAAAACATTAACACTCTTGCAATATTTTGTTGCCGATGCCCCCATGCTGCCTGAAGTGGGGAGTCTACAAAACTATAGTCTTCCCCAGAAAAATAACTGCAACTCATATGAGGCGGGCATGAATACAGTGAAAAGAAGGGGAGGGGGAGGCGGACCCAGTTGCACCCAGAAGAGCCACGGCATAACCATCCCAACAAAACACACACACACACAGAGTAGCAAAGCATAGGAAAGCTCATACGTTGAAGAAAACGTTGTCAGTCAGATGCCACTGGACTCAAACGTCGTTTTGCAAACACATGGACGTGCGCAGAGTAGCAAGGCGAGGGAAAGAAAAAAAAAAAGAGGGAGGAGAGGGGGAAGCAGACCGAGTTGCACCTGGGAGAACTGCAGCATAATTTGAGCCCAACAGAACACAGAGAGAAGGAGAGAGAGAGATGCAAGGCACAGGAAAGCTCACATCTTAAAGAAAACTTTGTTGGTCTTTAAATTCCACTGGACTGAAACATTGCTTTGCATACCCACAGATGTGCACACAGTAGCAAGGGAAGGTGGAATCAGACCCAGTTGTACCCGGCAGAACTGCAGCATAATTGGAGCCCAACAGAACATACACACACTGTAGCAAGGCACAGGAAAGCTCACAGCTTGAAGAAAACTTTGTTGGTCTTTAGATGCCACTGGACTCAAATGTTGCTTTGCGCATACACACAGACGTGTGCAGATTAGCAAGGCAAGGGGGTGAAAGAGGGGAGAGTTAAGTGGACCCAGTTGCTCCCAGGAGAACCACAGCATAATGAGCCCAACAGAACATATGCACACTGTAGCAAAGCACAGGAAAGCTATACCTTGAAGAAAGCTTAATTGGTCTTAAGGTGCCACTGGACTCCACAACTTTGCTTTGCGCATACACAGACATGCAGTAGCAAGGAGAGGGGGCGGCAGACCCAAGCAATGAGGGGGTTGGATTTGCATGGGAAAAAACAGGAGGGCCATTTGGCCCCATCCACTTCATTCGGGGGGGGGAGCCCCAAAGTGCATGCTCCCCATGGTAGCTAAAATGGTGGTTCTCTCCCCATGTCTCCCTCTGGCCACTTGCTTGCAGGCCAGATTAAAGCCCTGGGTGGGCCAATTCCCGCCCGCAGGCCGTTAGTTTGTCACCTCTGCCCTAATGTGACATATGCTGTCATGTAATGACTTTCTGCTGTTTTTATTGGCTGAACTGGACAGTCTATATGCAAGAGAATAAATGGACATTAAAAATAGAAATGAACTAGTGGGAACATTTCAGCATCCCTAGACGTTTAGTAATAGACATACAAGTTCTAGTACTTCAGCAGAAAAATTTCAAAGGTAGGCTCTAGTGAAAAGCTGTTGAGTTGGAATACATATGCAAATTCAATACTGTCAAACTTGGACTCAATGCACTATAAAACAATCATTCCTCCTTAAAGATTTATGTATGCCATTCAGATTCATCCTTTTGCCAGTTCATCAGCAATCGAGAGTGGTCCAGAGCCACTTTGAATAGATCACTTTTGATCTTGTTTATGTGTGCTTTGTAGTATTATGTTGTCCAAGGAAATATAGCCTTCTGACCTCCTGCCTTCTGTAATTTGTAGCTTTGGTACAAATTTTTCAACCAAATGAACGGAGTACTTCACATAACTGATGAAGTGGGTTCTGATTCACAGAAAAGCTTATGCTACAATTAATTTGGTAGTTTAAGGTGCCATAAGACTCTTTTCTGCAAAAACAATAGAACGTCATCAGTTATTAACATTATGACCCCCAAAATAGCATTTCATTGACAAATGTCAAACCATGAAATTATTTCTGGAGACTTTTTTCCTCCCTCCCCCATAAAAGGACTGCTGAAATAAAGATTTTCACAATTTTTCTAGTTTCTCTAAAAGTGAAAACTGGTTTGGTGAAAGGAGTTCCTTGGGGAGAGGCCATGATTCAGTGCTGGAGCAGCTGCTGTGTGTGCAGAAACATCAGATTCAGTCCTTGGTGCTTCTAACTAAATTACAAATGTTAAGAGACACATTGATTTGTCCAGGTCCCTGAAGATTCTTTGCTAGACAGTTGATAATGCCTGAAGATTCTTTGCTAGACAGTTGATAATGATGCACTAAATGGATAAGCTTCATAGGTTCATGTATGATGAGAATGCTGCCACTGAGAAGAGCCTCTCAAAATTATTTCAGCTAAATAATGAGTTTTGAGTTGATTTAGTGCCTTCTTACACATTCAAAGTTACAGGGGTTGGGTTCAGGGTCCCCACCCAGTACCCTGTGCAACAGTCAAACTTGAGCTGCAGGGTTCTCCTCAATTAACTGTGTGTGTAGTGTCCAATTCAGATTAAGACTGGTGCACATTTCCTTACCAGGAACAGTCTGTGAGTGAGAAATATTATGAAATTTTGAACCAGCTGTCTGAAGTGCCACTGTTCACAACGTGTAAAGGTAGATTTAGTTCATAAAGGCTCTTTTGGGTAGCAGAACATTTGTGCTGTACATTACATTTTCAAAGGCAGGCACATTACTCCCTCTCCTCCTCTTCTTTATTTTCAGGTATCAGAAAGTATGCAGTATCCTTTCAAACCTTCAATGAGAGTAGAAGTTGTTGACAAAACACATCTCTGCCGAACACGGGTAGCAGTTGTAGACAGTGTAATTGGAGGCAGGTTAAGATTAGTATATGAAGAAAGTGAAGACAAAACAGATGATTTCTGGTGCCATATGTACAGTCCTCTCATCCATCCCATTGGTTGGTCTCGAAGTATAGGACATCGGTTCAAAAGATCTGGTAAGTTCATCTGGTAAAGAGGGAACACCATCGTTGCATATGTCCTTTTAATGGATAATCAGCACATTTCCCACAAACATGTTTTGTTTTTTTAAAACAATTTTATTATTTTAAAAGAAACGAACAAACATATATGAGAGTAATCACATCAGCATTGTACCTATTAAAAGACCTCATACATACACTTCTAGTTATCTATCTTTCTACCGTATAGCCAATTATAATCCTTGCAACTCTATATTTTAGCAATATATGTTTACTTCTATTTAGACATTGTCTAAGCATTCTACTATAATTTTCTATAAAATACCTTAAGATAACCTTGACATTTCATAAACATATAAACTCATATACAGTTTTTCTTATTTCTATTTTTTTTAATCCATCTGATATAAGCATTACTTAAACATTTTAAAGTTTAATCTTCCATTAAATGCCTTTAATATAAGTTGAAATTTTTAGGTGAATTTACTTACCCAATCTTGGTCAATTACATACACAAAGAGATCCCCTAGCCCAATCTGATTTATACAATTTACTCTTTTACAATTTTTAATATCATCTATTATAAAAATTATCTAAACATATTCAATTAATCTACCCTTCAATATATTTAATATAGATTAGAGCTTTATGTGTGTATAAGAATAAATTCAAAAATGTCCACTGTTAATCAGTTACACATAGCATTTTATGGGTACATGAACATAGACTTAAGACTTCCCTAACCACTCTTGTGGCATCCTTGCTTATAGGGGGAGACTGTTTTTCCTTTAAACCATTTTCTGTGTATATAAACTTGGTAGTTTTCTGCTGCTACCAGGAATTAAAAATTCCAAATCTCTCTCTTTTGGTAGTATGGGCACTTCAGAGGACTATGTGGCCCTGAGGAAGGACTACTGATTTCTGGAATATGTTTAAACAAAAATTGATTTATTGAATAAAGAACAAAATAGGTTTCTGGTTATCTTGAATTGTTTCTGGAAGAAGGGACTTGTAAATATAACCGGCAAGGTGTCACACACTGTCTCTCAGACACCAAAATTCCACGCTGACAGGCTTCTCTCTCTCATATATGTAGCCACACGGGCTAAGCTCTTTGTCTTAGGCACGCAAGATAAAACAGTTGTCTAACCACACAGTATAGACACTACTTGTTTCTTTGTCTTATAGACTCTCACAAAACTTTTAGAGTCACACAGACCCTCTTCATAGCTCTTCCACACTTCGCTTTCCAAAGACCCATACCCAGAACTCTGTCTTCAAAACACACACAGATTCCTCTCAGAACATCTCCTCTCACACTCAGTCACCAGCCCATCAAATCACACTCATCTCCCCCTATTGCCCTCCTTGCATTACTGCAGTCAAACTAACATTTAAAGGAACACACACACCAAAACATGGAATCATTACAACTCTTAACCAGCTTTCACACAGAAAAAAAATTCCCCAACCCGGTCTTATTTATAAATCTTGATTCTTTTCTTCTTTCTCTGGCTTCTTCTCTTCAGTAGGGTCTTGATTCTATGTCTCTTGGTTTTGTAGGTAGAAAGGCTTTCTTTTAAGACTCACCATCTGTATTTAAGTCTTGTAGTAGTTAAGGATTCCATAACTTCTGTTTTGTCTTCTGTGATATTTTTCCCTTTACAGCTTTGAGAATTTCAGCAATTGTCTGCTTTTAGTAGATCTATTGTATTCTTCTGTATTCCTTTGTCTCTTTTTCTTTTTTGTATATCAGACTTTCTGTAAGGTACATCTACTTGCTTGTAGTTTTGATCTGTGTTTTGACAAGTTTGGTGCTGGGTCTTTGTCTTGATTGTAGCTTCTGTTGGTATAGTTATCTTCTTGTCTTGTATTGAATCAAAAGCCCCTTTAACTGCCAGATTGACTGTGTCAACAATTATAGACTTAAGCTTCTCCCAAGAAATCTGTGTCAATTTAACATCAGCTGAGATATCTATACTCACGCATCATCTGGCATTTTCTTATATGTGTCTTGTGCACTCATTTTGATGCAATAACAATAGCCCCAGTTCAGCCCAGCAAAACAAGGATCTCTGCAGTTATTTTACAATAGTCCTTACAAGGCTGACCACATTCACAAGATAGTAGCTGCTGTAGACTTATTAACAACCAAGAATCTTTCAACATAAATCAGGTGTTTTACAGTTGTACAATGGAGTCTGAACACTGTGTGCTTTTATAATTTCAACAATGAGACTGGAGTTATGGGGGACTATTGCAAAGTAAGAAGTTCAATTCTAAATGTCCCTCTTTCTTTTCTTTTTTTCTTTTCCAAAGGGTTTGATGAGATATATTCTCTATTGAAATTGTTTAGTCATTTTTCTTTTAAGAGTTTATACATAGATCCAATGAGTCATTTAAATCCAAAAGAGACAAGAAAGGGATTTAACAATTGGAATCCAAAAATCCCCCCCCCCAAAAAGCTCAAAGTTTATTCAAATATGTATTCCAGGCAAAATTATTAGGAGCTCAAACAGCAGTCTTCGTGTCCTCTTTGCCCCAAAGAGTGTTTAGCACAGCTTTTCTTTAGACACTCGTTCTAGCCGCTAGGAAGAGGGGGTGGGATTTCCACCTCTCCTTCCCTTGTCCTTTTAAAGATTTAAAGAGGCTTGGCCAACAGGTCGTTGAATTCTTCAGTGTTGCTTTTTACAGGTACTCACGGTAAAGGTCTTCATCAGCGTTATGGATGAGGCTCAAAACATCTCTCTTATCGGGTGTTCACAGTTGGTGCAGTCATGGCTGCCGTGACTGTGCTGATTTGTCCCTTGCGTCGGGGACGATCCAGGGCTTCCACCTACTTGCTGCCATGAGTGGGGCCTCCGAATCAAGTCCCTTGCACCGGACCTCCCTCCAGGAGGTCCAGCGGAGCGCGGGATTCCCCGAAAACTCTCCTAAAAAGAATGAAGAGCCGGCGGTACCCAGGTGCGAAGCCCGGTGCCAACTGTGCCGCTGCACCGCAGCCCTGTCTCCCCCCACATTTCCCACAAACGTGGATATGTACACCTGATTTGTCTACTGTAGCTGTGAAAACATGAATGGTATATAAATCTATCTTGTCCAGTTTTCATCACCCTTGGACCAATTATATTTTAAATAAATGATCTTTGAAGTGATGAACTAGAAGCCTTTATATTTTCATAATGTGCTGCTATTTTTTTATTTTTACTACTTGCTCTTCACAGATATTGCCAAGAAACAGGACTCTCACTTTGATGCACCCCCACATTTATTTGCTAAGGTAGGATGCTTTACAAGGAATTTCAACTTTTAAAATAGGAGTTACTTGTTAGCACTGATATGAGAAGTAGGCAATACTGTATTTCTCTCTTGCTTAGGGTTGCTAGGTCCCCTTCTCATTCCAGTAGGGGGATTTGGGGGCATTCTGGGGGTGAGTGGGGATGCCCCAAAGCCCTGCCCCCAAGTGTGACCTCCCATCTGGCCACCCCTATGCCTCCCCTCCTGCCCAATTTAAAGGGCTTCAGATGATCAGTGGGGACCCTTTGGGTCTTTTTGCAAGCCGAGCATGCAGCCCCTCTCCCTCCCTCCTGCTAGATTTAATGGGCCCTCCAGCTGACTGGCGAGCCATGTGGTCCCCACTGATCAGCTGAAGCCCTTTAAAATGGGCAGGAGGGGAGGGAGAGGGGTGACCGGGTGGGAGGACACTCTTGGAGGCAGGGCTTGGGGGTGGGGCTTCCCCCACCGGCCAGCTGGCCGGGGGCGAATTGGAGCCCCCAAAAGCGGGAGGAACCCCCACCTGGACCTTGGGGCTGGCAGCCCTACTCTTGCTGAAGATGTGCATTTTGCCAGGTGCTGCTTGTGGAGATGTGAATTTTAAAAAAGGTTCTGAGAGAGCAAAACTACATTTTAGAAACATCTGTAATTCTTTAAAAATTGCCATGAAGCCCTGATCCAGATTGGGCATATGGTGGCCCCAGAAACTCTCATTGCCCCCCCCCAATGCCTTTCCAGATGCAGAAATAGCTCCCTGTAGCTGTTTTGGCACCTGACAGCCACTGTGAGTTCGATACAAATTGGGGCCTCATGGCAATTTTTAAAGAACTACAGATGCTTCTAAAATAGCATTGGCAACCATGGGATGGACCTGTGACCCCAGTCACTTGTAATTTGGCCCTGAGTAACTGTTTCTGCCGCTGATCATTTTGATTTTATGGCATTTATTTGTTACTTCAGAAAAATATCTGCTGTGGTCTCTTTAGGTAAAAGAAGTTGAATCAAGTGGAGAATGGTTCAAGGAGGGAATGAAACTGGAAGCCATAGATCCATTAAACCTTTCTGCAATATGTGTGGCAACGATTAGAAAGGTAACAGCATTAACATACTTTGGAGTAGTGACTGTCCACATGGCCGTTCTCTCTACACTTGCCTTGTAGCCAAAACCAACTGAGGTAGGCTCAGGGCGGCTTACATAAGACAACAATAGATAAAACAACAATATAAATATCGATATAAAATACATGATAGAATATTAAAACCATTAACACAACGATGGCAATACGATGGTAAAGTGCATATAGAGACATACATTCAGCAGTACATCCACTCTCGGTGGGCTTAGTGCCTGATTAGTTTCCCATAGCTCTGCACTACAAAGTGGCCCTTGATCGATTCATTACAAGACTGCTCCAGGACCCATTGGATGTGACATACTGCTTATTCAGACCAAGGAACTGAATTAGTGACTGGCTGGTGAATTAACATACCCCAGCAAAGAACTATTCAGAGTTCCTTTCAAAAATATAATTGTATTGTATTTAGAAGTGCTGCAGCATCTGGCATTTTGATGCAATTTGTAATTCCACCCTGTCTCCTTTCACTGCAGGTGCTGAAACATGATTAGTGTACACACAATGCTGTCAATCCTTTCATGATTATAAGGGCCTGTGCTTTGGAGTCACACTGCTCTCCACCCACCTCCACATCTGCCAGCTGCCTCTGTCCTTTCTTTGCCATTCTATGCCATGTGTTAAAATTTACTTCAATATCAACTTTAATCAGAATTTGAACCCAGCTTCAGATCTGTAGTTAGTATTAATGATGTAAGGCTGGTAAGGAGAATTTGGCAAAGTGGGAAATAAGAAGAGGGCCCTACTTCTGCTCCATTAACTTTATTTAAGAGATCAAGGGTGTTACATATGTACCAGCCTTCCCTGAAAGTTGTAATACTATAAATACAAACTATATTGAAGACTTTGTTTTTAACAAGAATTCCTCTTGAACAAACTTTGCATATTACTTATTATTTCCTTTATTGCCTCTTGTGTTGTCTTGCGTTTAACTTCTAGTAGATATAAATCCTAACTCTTCTGTGTCTTTTGTTTTATCAAGGTATTAGCAGATGGATATCTTATGATTGGAATTGATGGCTCTGAGGCAGCGGATGGGTCTGACTGGTTTTGTTACCATGCTACTTCCCCTTCTATATTCCCAGTTGGTTTCTGTGAAATTAACATGATAGAACTAACTCCACCCCGAGGTATTTATGCTTATCTATCTATAAAAATATGACTTATTTTTTTCAGCAGAATTTGTCCAGAATTTGTGTTCATATGGCTAGACTGAAATTGCTTAACCAGCAGCTGTTCAGCAGAAAATGCTTCATTACTGCCTGCTCTATCCTTTGGTGGGTTGGGGTTAGATGTACAGTCTGTTCTTCCAGCTCCCTTTCAGACACTGGTGATCCAATCTGGCATGGTAAGGCTAGGCAAAAGTGAAGAGAATGTGGGGATTTGCCACAGTGTTGTTTGTTTGCTGAGATGAAGGGGATGGGAGAAGGCATCAGACCAGGTGCTCTGCTATTCCTACTGAAATCTGCTCTTTCCCTCTTTTGCCTAGATTACGTCAGTATCTTACAACCTTTCTTTGTTGCTTTCTTTGGCTCTTCCCAATCAACAAGAACAGCTAGGTTCAGGGAAAAATAGGGAGCAATGGGCATTCCCATCTTGAATCTTCTTCATCCAAAGGATTTGCCACTGGCTGAAACTGAGCAGCTGTACTGAGTTGTGTACACAAGAAGTGGTCAACAAGATGAAATGGGGAAAGGAGAGTGAATAGGCACTGAAAATGGTAGTAGAAGAAAGGTAGCAATGACAAGAATAGGTATATTAACTTAGCTGTTTTAAGAAGAGTGGGGGGACATGAGAATTTGATTTGGCATACTATCTAGCTAATTATTGTGCTCATTTTCAAATTCCCTGCCCCAGTGTTTGATCAGTGGTTAAAAGCCACTAATTTAGTGTAAGATAAATCTGGTGGTTCATAATAGGAAGATCACATGGGGTATGATTGTTTCCTTTCTGTAATAACCACTTAGAGACTGAGCATGTCATATTGAAAAGTATTTTTGTGTTGTTATTACATAATTGTTAACATTTGCAGGTTATGCAAAACTACCTTTCAAATGGTTTGACTACCTCAGGGAAATGGGTTCAGTAGCAGCTCCTGTGAAGCTCTTCAACAAGGTAAACTGTTACACAGACCAGATTGTTAAATTTTTTGGAGTATGTGATATGTGCAGATGTAGTTCTTTCTTACCATTCCCTTCCCCTAGAGCCCACCCCCAGACCTCCAGAATGCTGATGGATGTGGAACTTGACTAGATAAAAGTCATTCGTTCCAAGGGAAATAACACTTGCAAAGAAGTTAACCCAGTATTTGTTAGGCCATATGTTACAGTTTCGGAGTAGGCAGTGTGATTGTGCACATAAACATAAGGTTTGTTCTCATGTAATTTTGAGGTTGGTCAATTTTTTATATAGGAACGTTTTGTATTGAATTCATACAATTTGATTGTCGTGCTTCCTCATTCCAGGAAGTTCCAAACCATGGGTTTCATGTTGCAATGAAACTGGAGGCAGTAGATCTCATGGAACCTCGTCTAGTATGTGTGGCCACAATAACTCGTATAATCCATCGTCTCCTGAGGATACATTTTGACGGCTGGGAAGATGAATATGATCAGTGGGTGGACTGTGAATCTCCTGACCTCTATCCTGTAGGATGGTGTCAGCTAACTGGGTACCAACTACAGCCTCCTGCATCACAGTGTAAGTACCTTTTGATTTGTAAGGATTTATCTTGGACCCTTTTATAGCTGAAACATGAGGAGGAGGAGGAGGAGATTAGATTTATACCCCGCCCTTCACAACTCAAAGGAGTCTCAACAGATTTAGCATGGTACACTTTATCATATCTGTGTGTGTGGTTTTGGATTTACTATTAGATCACCAGCTGGTACAAAACTGGAGCAAACCTTTACTACAGATTCAGAAGCTTATGGGTTTAATCTGTTCTGCTGTGTACTCAAAGTAGCACTTCATGGCATTTGAGTGACAAGTATAATTCTGTCCCTGATATCCCCAGGGACATTGTAAATCAAAAAACTTTTACTGGGCAGAAACACAACTTTGCATTTTCTTTTGCCCACAACATGTCTTACATTTAGATCAACTGGTGATTTGTCCATAAGCATAAACATAGGTAGAGTGTGTGTTGCTGTCATTGGATTCCTAACCTGCCCTGACTTTCCTTTGTGGCAGAGAGTCTGGCCTTTCAGCTTAGCACACTGCATGAAAGGTAAAAATATAACTGTCAGTTGCTGGATTACTTTGATGGATAGCTTGTTATTTTGCTGTTGAGTCTTAGGTAGTGTATTCTTGGTGCAAAACACTGTTTTCGTCCCACTCATCCCCCCTTCTCACTTTAGTATCTTATACTCTGGAGCACCAGTCATTGACAGGATATGTTCAGTTCATCCACAACTGAACACAAAGGACATTACATCAAGAATTACAATATATAGTATATAATATAAATATAATAAAATCCAAACACTACACAGCTCCTACAGTTTCAAAAGTGAACATTTGCAACCAGAAATTGGCTGACCGACTTCAAACAGTGTATGCATTTCAGCCCCATCCATTGTTTTTTGCCCTTGTTATCCCATTAAGACAAAGCAGTAGAAGTGATAAATAGTAGAAATCCCTTTTAAAGCAACTGTTAATGTTACAGCAGCGTTTTAAGGGCCTTTTATGCATTTTATTTAGTAAATTTGTATCTCTTCCTTCCTTCAAGAAGCTCAGGGTGGCATACATTGGTCTCTACATCTTCATTTTAGCCTCACAGGAGCCTTGAGAGGCAGGTTAGGATAAGAGTGACTGACCCAAGGTTACTCAGCAAGCTTGATGGAAGAGTGGGATTTTGGACATTATCTCTCCTATATCCTACTCTAACACTCCAACCACTAAACTGCAATGGTGATAATTTGACTCCCTGGCCCATGGTTCTCCACTCTCCAAACCTTTTCCCTTCCTTTTGATACAGCATAGCCCCTCCCATCCCTAGTAGACCCTGTTTTGAGTTCTGTCCAAGCGCTGCTGTTTAGTGGGTTCCTCCTTTGTCTCATTGTTGGAGACATTTATCATTTCCTCAGATTCCTGCTTTTCAAGGATGTCAGACAAGTTGACAGTTTGGCTGGGATTAAAGGCACACAGATGCTTGGGACAGTAGTAGCTATTTGA